TTGATTAAATGTTTCTTTTTTACTTTTGTAAAATTAAAATCAGTTTTTATAAAATATTTTGGATGTAATGAAGACTTAAATATCAATTATTTCTATTAAGAGTTGATTATCTTTGTCTATTTTCAATTTAAAATTTCAAAAACATAACCTATATTTTTTTTGCCTCTAAGGCATGAAGTAGTATAAGGTAAATAAAACATAAATTTTTTGAAAATATATTTGAAAATTGGTAAGTTTTTGCTTATTTATATACGAATATATAATTTAGATTTTTTAAATATTTGTTTTCAATTATGTTTCATGATGAAATAATAAAGGAATTTCTTTTTTATTTTTAGGTTATATTTACATGTGACCACGTGACCTGTAATTCCTCGCTTTTCCGCTAGGGTTGTTAGTATCGGGGATATGTCATATGTAAATGCTTCTATTAAATCTGGAAAGGCTGGGGAAGAATTTTCAAAAACGTCCTATAGAGTGAGTGCTCCTTATACTACTTCATGCTCTAAGGTCAGTTACATCATTTAATAATAATAATAATAATAATAATAATAATAATAATAATAATAATAATAATAATAATAAATAATAATAATAAATAATAATAATTTTAAAACTACTTTTAAGAGTAATGAATGACATGCTTGATTAAAAAGTCATACAACAGGCAGGAGAAGTATAATGAATGATTGATTTTGATCCTTCACTCGCACATATGAACTTATAGGGACTATCGTGAGAAATCTCTCATTACCTTTCGTATAATTCTACTTCTAAGATTATATATGAAGAGAAGCAATTTTAGAAAGGAGGGGTATCATTTAAATTTCCATTTTCTAGAACCTGATATTGAACCACGACTGTGGTAATTTTGTCCTTAAGTAATTAATACTCTTAATCTACAATTTCTCAACATTATTGAATGTACATAATAATGAAACATGATCTTCACTTGAGAAAGAAGAAAATTTTTTAATAGACAAAATAACAATTTAAATTTTCAATTTTTATTAAAAAAAAAAACAATAATAATAATTTAGTAATTGATAATAATCTTTAAATTTTAGCTGATGAATTACTCGATTATCAGTTAGAAGCTCACATCAATCAACATTAATTTTGATAAATCGGTTGACATTAGTGTTCACATAAAATAACGAATTACTCCTATGCGTCAAATAAAATCAAAACCATCACCATATATCTGATGCGCAAAAATGTTTCGACATTGACATTATAATTCAAAAGAAAACCGTCGCTCATAATAGTACAATATATGTCAAATTAGATTTTATTTCGCGGCTAATTTTAACATTTAAAAAGTTTATTTAAATACAGATAATTAACACTTTTGACTTAAAAATTTAAAAAAAAAAAAAAAAAAATAGAAACAAAAATATTTTTTTGTATTAAAAAAAATTTGATTCAAATAATTATTTATTTGTATCTAAATAATTAGTATTTAAGTTAATTAAGTGGTATTAGATGAAATACAGTTTATTTAATAAAAATAAAAATTATTTCGTTCAAGTAAATACTTATTTGATAATAAAGTAACCGATTATTCGAATCAAATAAATTTTGTTTTAAGTGTAGTGAAAATTGATTCTAAAATTAGTTTTAAATACGTCTGGTGATGAAAAATAATATATCAATAATAAACTATGCTCTGCATCTTTAATGCTCTATACGTGGAAAAGAGAATGTACGATATAACACTTATATAAAGGTAATTATTCTATTAAAAAAAGGCGTCTAGATATTTATGAAGAGTTCAATTCAACGTTAACTAAACCATATATTGATTATACAAGAATCTTCTTTAATTTCTTTAGGACGTTATAAACAAAAATTGAAATTGTTTTTGCGCAACTATACTTTCAGGAAGTTAGTTGAGATTCTATGCCCGAGTTCCTATATATATATATATATATATATATATATATAAAGAGTATTAGTATATATGAATAGAAAATGCTATCAACGAAATACATTCATAGGATGTCGGTAAATACACTCGGTATACTGCTTGAAAGGTTTATGAATAGGCCCTGTTGCTTCTTCACACCATTGGTGCGAATATAGATACAACATTGAGATTTTATATAATTTTTTTTTTATTTCTAAAGGGAAATACCATCTCATTTGAAAAATGTATTTCAAGATAAAAAAAAAATGTTCGAAAAAAAGGAAGATATTACCTCTCTTTTTCTCAGCAACGAAACGTCTTTCTTTATTATCCTCACCAGGGATCGAGGAACGACAGACGACAGTTTCTTATTCGACACTTTCTATATGTTTGACTCCAAATGGAAATGACAATTTCCAAGCTGCTACACATTCATCTATACTCGCGGACGTTTCTTTTCTTAAAGATTGTCAAAAGGATGATCGTTAGTGGATTTCCGTTCGCTATAACGATTATTCCAACAATGTATGAACAAAATTCCATTGGGAGTAGAAAAACGTTTCGTCAAGGTAAGCTTAAGAATTAAATCTTAGTCGCCTATAAGGTAGAGATGTTGAGAAGAAGAAGAGGAAGAAGAAGAAGAAGAAGACATTTTACTACTTTCCTTCAGATTTGTATTTTAAAGAATACTCAATCCGATAGAGATTTGAATTATTCAGATTGAAGAGGCAGTCAAGAAATGAATTCATCCCAACTCAATCAGTAATTTGAAGCGAAAAACAATTTCCGTTAAATCTGATAATGTCAATCATCATGACGACACTGAAGTGAACCTGATGAACATTCTTTAAAATTTGTCATTTTATAGAAAATGTACTTTTTCTTTCTAAAGTTAAAAAAATATTTTTACTCAAATATTAATGAAAAACATGTTTTTCAATCAAAATATTTAACGCAACAAAAGATAAAACATTGACAACATAAAAAATCTGTATTTGGGATTCCGTGTCATCATATATATGCAACATCATAATTCCCACGTTTGTTATGAAATTTTTAAGACAAAGAACTCTAATTGTCAGTCGAAGAACAATGCTACTGATATCGTTCGTCACTTAGACGTGTGTATTTATTTTTTTTTTTTTTAAGTGGGTGCGGCAACTTTTACATTCACATAACGGCCCTTTACTCTTGAAACAATTAGATGTGTTCTTAGGTTACGCTTCATACATAGACATGGTATTGTTTGCTTATAATATTATTGTTACATGTTTTGGGAAATACTGTCATTTTTCAGGAAAAAAGAGAAAATTCGCTTTTCACAATATCCTGAAAAAATTGCCTCTGCAAACACAGTAAGTTAAAAGGTTTTCTTACTTTCATATTTTGTTTTAATGATTACACAGGACGGCAAAATTTTAACCTACTTCAGAATCATACTATACTTTTTCGAAGAATTTAGAAACCGAATCTGATCTCAGAATTGACCCAGTACGTCAGATTTTCGAGATTCTAACCACAAGGACATTTTTTGATCATATTTGAGGTCATGTAACATCAAGAGAATTTTTTTTAAAGATCGTTACAGCATTTGAAATTACTATTCTTCCCCTTTAAAATACATTTTAAAACTTTAAAAAATCTTTATTTGGTTCTGAGTTATTGTCATTTTAATTTTCTGACACTACTCCTTTTACGAGTTTTGAAAAATGCACCAAATTCAGAAAATTCAAATGACAATAACACAGAACCAAAAAAAAAAATTTTTAATTTTTAAAATGCATTTTAAAAATTAAGCTGCAGTTTTCAACGTCAAACTTGACGATTTTCTAAATCAACAATTTAGAAATCGTCAGATTTGACGTTATAAACTTCAGTATAATTTTAAAAGGGAAAGAATATTACTTCCAAATGCTGTAACGACCATTTAAAAAAAAAATTTCTCTTGAAAAATATGGTAACTTAATATATGATATATTGCTCTAGTTTTTTATAAAATAACGCAGAAATTAAAATGTCGCTGTTTTTGCTCTATTTTGCCATAAAACTAGGGCAGAAATTAATTAAATTAATAGAGCAAAAACGACGCTATTTTAATTTCTGACTTATTTTTACGAAAAACTAGAGCAAAAACGTCGCTATTTTAAATTCTGCTCTAGTTTTACAGAAAACTAGAGCGAAAACGTCGACATTTTAATTTCTGCTCTAGCCATTCGGGCAGAAATTTTAATGGTGGTGTTTTTGCTCTATTTTTCGGTAAAACTAGAGTAGAAAATAAAATGACGACATTTTTGCTCTAAGTATTATAGGGGGTGTTCACAAAATATATAACGCTTTTTTTTGGAAATTTCACCCCCCCCCCTCCTCATGTAACGCTCAGTTACATACATTAGCGACATTTTTTTGGCTATCCGTAACAAATAGCTTGACCCCCCTCCCCCATGGAAGCGTTACGTATTTTGTGAACAGCCCCATAATTTGTATCAAAATTCCAAAAATTTAAGGAAATTCCATGACTTTCGAATACAAATAATCAATTCCATGATTTTTCCCTGTCCTGCCTGAAGAGTTTCCTTGACTTTTACACGGAAAAAAAGGAATTGCTTACAAATGCTAACTGATGTATGCTATCAGATCTATCAAAATTAGTAACCATAGCTAAATTTTTTGCTATAACAACGAAAAAGTTTGCTGTGATAAACAATATCAGTCTTAATTTTTAAAAATTTAATGTCACAGCAAACTTTTTTGATCCCACAGCAAATTTTTTCTATGTGTGCGTGTAGACACCCTGTAGAGGTTAAAACTGTCAAATAAATATTTTTAGAATATTTAGAAAGAAAATAAATAAGTATTGTAATTCTTATTATGTAAAGCAGAGAAATTATGACAACACTAAATAGTAAATTCGCGGAAATAGAGTTAATTACTGACTGTATTGTTATACAAATTGAGATGAGTTTCAGTATGTGATAAGCTATAACATGTTTACTACTATGATGATCGTTAGGTTTGTAAGTGAACCTCAATTCAGTCAGTCCTTTCAGTTCCCCCACACATAAGGAATAAGAGACGATGCAAAAGCCAACATTCTAGCGTTCTGCTCCAGGTATCAAGTCTACTAACGTCTCCCTTCGAAAAGAGCCAGTTTCCGTGTAGACACCACTTGACCAAGTTCGGAACTGGTTCTTAAAAAAAAAAGTGGTCCTTTCATTGTGCAAAACAAACATGCGGATCTCGTGCGTGGTGATTGTTCTTTGTGTCGCATTAGGTGAGTAGGTGCATTAATTATTAAATCCTTATTTGGCATACATTCATTTCCCAGTGCAATAGTTTCTTATTCAAAAGAAAATAAAATTATAAATATACTCTCAATTATTTTTATTTTTAAATCCAAATTTTAACTAATTTTAATTTAATTTAAAAGTTTTCAATTAAATTGTGAATTCGTTTTGAGACAAAGCAAATGAATCGGAAAAAAAGATTTTTCGCTTCATATATGCGAAAATCTATCGACATTTTGGTCATCTCGAATAGCTAAAACCCAATCCAGTGTTAAACATATATAGTTGACTCTCGACCAGTGCACGATGAGAACACCAGGGGAAATCAAGCGTTCTCCGATTTTATTTGCATAAAGTGATGGAACCAGAACATCACGTGCAGCTATGTCAGGTCCTTGGTGTCTCCTACTTTTTGGCACCTGGTTATTTTCGAGATCAAAACTCACTGTGACACCAGTTGCATGTGAATGCGATAAAAGTAATGACAATATCCTCCCCAAAAACAAATTCTAATGCAGTCTTAAGATACTTTCATCTATATGACAAAAATGTCTTCATTTTTTATATTGAAAAATGTATACAATAAATTTTCTGATAATTAAACTTTCATAATTATTATTGATCAAGAGAGAATAATTTATAAAGAAATATTCAACATTTCTTTAAGAAAATGATGATTAATATATATACAAGTGTGTAAAATAAGAAACGCCTCTTATCGACACGGAATCTACCGACACGTGATGAACGTTATAAACGTGATACTATAAGTGAGATATAAAGCGCACAATTCCGTAACTCTTCGCATTGGATATAAAAGCTGATGTAGAGTTTTCTTCGAAAACTTTTTATCGTTTACCTCCGCCATCTCATCACTAAAAAGCACATCGTGAAAATGCGCTCTCACGTGATGCGTCTTCAATAATTTTGAATTCGACTTGTGAAAATTTGCCAACAGCAAAAATTAGAGACATTCCCTATAAATAAAATTTAGTTTGTACATGAAAATTGTCGATTAAAGTAATGTATTTTCAATCGGCTAATGCAAAAATTTTAAAGCACACAACCGTTAATGTAGAAAAGAAAATCTAGCGTTTTTCATAAATACGTAACACGTCTACAACATGAAGCTCTTGAAAATTCTATTCATTGCTCTGACTATGGTACAGCTTCGCTTCGTGTGAATATGTATATATACAAAGAATCCCTTTTGCGAATTCCCTCATCATTACTCGTGAATATTTTTTTTTTTTACTAAAAAACATATATATATATATAAAAATAAAAGAAAGAAAGAGAAAAAACAGTGACAGCTTTGCGCGCTAATACACTTTTTTTCCCTCTCTGTGGACAGGGAAGTGAAGTTGCAAACAGGTAGACGGAACGCTATCTGCGATTGATGTACGCCACAAAGGTCCGTTCACACGAAGATTGTTCGTCACATTCTAACCACGTCCAGCACCTGCGCCCCCCCTCAAACCTTCTCAATTGATCCCACCATCATATATGTGTGCACAGGGGAACTCACGCAATTCTCAATGCATTCGGCAGCATCCGTGCAGAGTATGGTATATCAACCAGTATACTACATACCTGATCACCATAAAAATTTATAGACTCTCGTTGGCGACCGTAAATTGTATTATCGAAGCGCATATTCCATCGCGTCCATATCCTCTCAACCACCCGGGGACCCTCTTTGAACTACCACCCCTCTCACCCACTGCTTTGGAATGGGCAGGGTTTTAAAATCAACCCCCACCTCACAGCGATAACCTCGATAGAACGAGAACAGCGAGGAAAACCAAAAGAGATTGAATATTTTTTAAAAGTAAATCGGATCTTTAAAACGATTCTATTTTATACCCTTTCTTGTGAAAAAAAAACAATGAAAAATACCTTTTACCAAAATAGAATAATTTAGGAAAATTTTATTTTGTGCCATCTTTGGGTTATCTTTTAAAGAACAGTTCTCTAAGGTAGTTGTCTCGAAAGCTTAAATGTTTTCTTTTCAAATCCTCAAAACTTTTTAATAATCAGTCTATATTAATTTCTCTGTATAATTCGTTTGTAGCTTTTACTATACGCTTATACTATCGCCAATTCTTTTTTTTTTTTTTTGATAAATACAACGACGATCTTGAAAAACTGCAAAAGATTTTTAAAATTTTGGACTTACACCTGATATTAAAAAAAATTTAGAGATTTTATAGAATGTTGAATGTTGCTAAAAATGGCATTTTTCACGGTTTTAGGTTAAAATATCTCAAAATACTGACGAGGATTTCAAAATTTTTGCTCTTTAACTATTGCTCTATAGTTTGACGAAAAATTAGAGCAAAAATACAATTTTAATTTCTGACCTATTTTTACGAAAAACTAGAAAATAAAACGTCATCGTTTTTACTCTATTTCTCTGTAAAACTAGAGCAGAAATTAAAATAGCGATGTTTTTGTTCTAGTTTTTCATAAAGATAAGGCAGAAATTAAAATGGCGTCGTGTTTGCTCTATTTTCCCGTAAGACCAGAGCAGAAATTAAAATGGCGCCGTTTTTGCTATATTTTTTAGTAAAACTACACTGAAAAAAGGGTTTGGTATTGACAACCAAACGTTTGGTTGGTATTTAAGCAACCAAAATTTTTTTGTTGAATCAACAAAATTTTAATTGTCTCAACCAAAATTTGTTTGACACAACCAAAATTAGAAAAAAAAAGGATTTTTGTTGTCCTAACTAAAGTTTTATTGGGACAACCAAAATTTTGTTGATTCAACAAAAAAATTTTGGTTGCTTAAATACCAACCAAACGTTTGGTTGTGAATACCAAACCCTTTTTTCAGTGTAGAGCAAAAAACTAGTTATTTTAATTTCTGCTCTAGTTTTAGTGGAACATAGAGAAAAAACGTCGCTATTTTAATTTCTGCCTTATTTTTGTAAAAAAAAAAACTAGAGAAAAAACTTGGGCATTATAATTTCTGCTCTAGTTTTACTATTAAATGGCGACGATTTCTAAATTTTTGCTTTAAAGAATCGACAAGTTTGACGTTGTAAACTTCAGCTTAATTTTGAAAATGCATTTTAATTTGATGAGTTATCGTCATTTGAATTTTTTGAGTTTGATGAATTTTTCAATACTGGTAAAGTGAGTAGTATCAGAAAATTCAAATGTCAATAACTCATAGCCAAATAAAGATTTTTTAATATTTCAAAATGCCTTTTTTTTAAATAAAATCTCTTGATGTTATATACACGACCTTCAATAAGGTCAAAAAACGTCTTTTTACACTTTTAGATTAGAATATCTCGAAAACTTGACGTGCAGGGTCAATTCTAAGGTCAGATTCGAATTCAGCACGTCAAATTCTAGGTTCTAGGTTTTGAACTAGACCAAAATTTTGTCGGTCTGTGTAATGATTAATTAGTTTATACGCCGCAGCGTATTATTACTTGCAATTTACATTATAATAATTTCTCTTTTTTGCAAACATGTAAAATTTCCTTTTTATACATATATAATCTCGTTAACCATTTATGGTTTATTAGAACTGCGTGATATGGAGTTGAAAAATAAATAAATATTGTCATTTCATATATCTAAAATGCCTCGTTGAACTTAGGAAGAAAACCTGCCAATTTAAATTGAAAAGAAAGAAAGTAAAAAAAAATGAAAGAAAGCACACGTGCTCTTCATGAAATCTGAAAGATGCTTTTGTGGATAAAACTATATATATATATATATATATATGAAATAAAAAGAAAAAAAAAGTATAGGAAGCATAAAGTAGCAAGAAAATAGTATAACGAGATAGAAATGGAAACACGTGTTGTGTGTTACCATGCAGAAGTATCTTTACAGTATAGATAGAAGATTATCAAGAGAATAAAGACAATATAAGAAAAAAGTATAAGGTCACAATATATCAAAATCAAATCTGCGGAAGGTTATAACAATTGAATGTATTGTTTTTTTGTCTATACTATTAAATAACAATAAAATATATTATTGATTAATTAATACAAACATCCATAAAACTTCCGCTATAGAAAGTCATATATTAATTTCGAGATTCAATTCAAAAAGAACAATATTCGCATTAGCTATTGTAATTTGTAAAGCATATCATTATATATACATGTCCCCACGAAATTGAATTTAGAAGTTTGTTTTAAACTATACATATTCACAAATCGAATTAGAAAACATAATTTCCGCACTAATAATTACAATTGTACTTCTTATGACCTGAGAAATTTTTTTTTAATTAAACATTAAATTGATGTTTAATTAAGTAATTTTATTAATACTTCTCCGTCAGGATCTGACTCACAGTAAAATATGAGGTATTAAAAAGCTTTGCAGATTTAATTAATATTAGAATTTTTTAAAATTAAATTTTTTTCAATTTGGCGAAAATAAACGTTTCTAAGTTTATTTTTTGAAAGTTTGAATTTTAAATGAATTATGTTAATCTTCAATTGATAAAAGCATATTATTTTAATCCTTTGTAAAAAATAATACCCTATAATTTACTGTGGCTTTAACAGGATTATCAAAAAAATTTATTTTTCCCTCTTTATATTTTAATAAACGAATAACGAAATTCCACGACTTTCGAAAGTAAAACAAAAGACACATATATGTCAATGGAAGAATATAATTTTACAGAAACTTAACATTTTTTTCTTAATTAATCTTGACTTTTATATAGAAAAAAATTCCCTGACTTTTCAGTTAGCGTAGAAATTTCTGAAACTTTTATGAAATCTGATTCGGAGTGAAAAATTTAATTTACATATTTTTTTTATATACAGTAATCTTGTAGTTTAGAGAATACTCTTTGTAAGGTGGAAATAATATGAAAGTAAATCGAAATAAAATTTTATGTAAGCCGAATTTATACTAATTAAAATATTATTGCGTAGAAAGTTAATGGTACTTTATTTGGATATAATTGAAAAATAAGAATGGTGAATAATTAAAACTTTTA